CTTTCCAGAGAAACATTCTGCTCTGTCCTGTTGAGTTGTTACAGATAATAGTTTCTGGTTCTACGTGCGCACTCGTGTTCTTTCCCCAGGAAGATTGCGACTTCCTTAAAAACCAGTTCTGGCCCTGACCGGTTTGGCTCAGTGGATAGAGTGTTGGCCTGCGGACTGAAAGATCCCAGGTTTGATTCCGGTCAAGGGCATGTACCTTGGTTGCGGGCACATCCCCAATAGGGGGTGTGCAGGAGGCAGCTGATCGATGTTTCTCTCTCATCGATGTTTCTAACTCTATCCCTCTCCCTTCCTCTCTGTAAAAAGTCAATAAAATATATTTAAAAAAACAACAACAGAAAAACACCAGTTCTGTTGCTTTTGCATTTCCATCGTCTGCTGTGAAGCTGGTGGGGATTAGGGCAGCGCTTGTTGGAGTGAGCACCTGAGGGCCAGCTGGTCTCCTGTGGCCAGTGTCTCCGCCAGGCCTTCCCACAGGCCCTCTAACGACTGACTCTTGGCATCTCTCTGCCGCCGGCCCTGCCTTAGCGTCCTCATCGGTGTGGGTGCTGGGCCGCTGCGTGCAGCCACGCGTGCAGTTGCGGGGAGCAGCCCTGGTTTCAGGGTGTCAGCACTGCTCTACCTTTCTTGGCTATTTTCTCAGTTTGGGTTCCATCGTGAGTTTAGGCTCTGTCAGGCCTCTCCTCCAGATCCCGTGGGAATGCTCCCAGCTACCCCGTTTCTGCGCTTCCTCTTCTCAGTGAGGAGAGCGCTCTTTTCCCAGAATTCTCAGCAGGAGCTCTGAGCCTGCCTCTGATTGGACCAACTTGGGTCACATAACCTCCCATGAGCCAGTGGCCCCAGGGGCAGAATGCCCTGATGGGTCTCACCAAAGCCCTGGGATCTTGGGGCCCAGTGGGTGGAGGCCCCAGAGGGGACTGAGGGCTGGTGGGGGAGTGAGAAGACGGGGGATGAGGCGGGCGTGTGGGGTGAAGTCTTGCTTCTTATCCACCATTCATCACGGGCCTCTCCTCACCAGAAGGGGTGCTTTCCTTTCAGGAATACATCGACGCCCACCCTGAGACCATTGTCCTGGACCCCCTTCCTGCCATCAGGACGCTGCTCGACCGCTCCAAGTCCTACGAGCTCATCCGCAAGATTGAGGCCTACATGAAAGGTATGGGGGCCCACCTGTGGTCACTGCCGGGGCGGGAGGGCCCTGGTCTGTCTGAGCACTCGGGACGGAAGCAGTTGAGTTCCAGGGGCCGCACATTGTGGGGAGGCCCGTCCTGCCTCTGACCAGCAGAGTTGGGGAGTAAAAGCCCAGAGTGCTCCTTGGAGAGCGGCTCCAACCACTTCAACATGCTTGGCTTTGTTGTCCTAAAGCCACGGAGTGGCCATGAAGTGTCCCCATAACACAGCGGTTAGAGAGCAGGCGTGTGTGTGGAGGAGCTCAGGGCGGGCGGGCGAGTGCAGTTATGTAACTGGGTGAAGGAGACACACAGAGAAATTAAAGGGCCTTTAATCAAACACACGGAGCTGTGTAATGTGGCGGCTAGACTTCGCGGGGCACGCCGTGTTCTCGAGGCAGGAGCCTCCCTCTTCGCCGCAGGAGCTTCGGCTGCCAGATGTGGCCTCCTGTCCCTGGGGACCCCCACCCCCACCTCCCGCCGGGCAGGGCAGCTCCGAGGAGTCGGACTCCTTTCCAAGGTGTTTGTTTATGCCTTTTGGAAAGAGTCTTGTTAACAGTCACCCCGTGGTTGTCTGCCTAACGCAGGCGAGAGCTCTTGTGTAATTGGAAGGAGATGTGCTTTGCCTGCGCCTCCAGCGTTGTAGGGATGCATCCCGGGCTAGAGAGGCAGCCCCTGCTCTGCCGTCCTGACCATGCGTGTGGCCTGCGCACACGGCCTGGAACCCTGACCCGGGTGACCTGCCTCAGGCGTTTTGTGTGCTGGTGGGACCAGTGGGCAGTTTGGCTCACAGGACCACGAGGGGAATGGAGAACAGCATTTATTGGGTGTGCCAGCTGCCTGGTCCTGGGTTAGCCTTCTCCTTATACTCCTCGTGCGCTCATGAAGGAGGTCTTTGCCCTAATTTTATAGATGATGCGAAGGCTCAGAGAGGTCAGCAGACATCCTGGTGTCACAGCCCGTAAATGGCATCATAGCCCGGTCTCTACCCAGGCTCCCTAGCTCCTAACCCCCGAGCTTGACTGTCATGCCCATGGCCAGAGGCCCTGCATTTAGCAAGCACCTGGCATAGGTGCAGCCATGACCCTGGCTAGGGGAGTTGGTGAGTTCTTGAATCCTTAAGGAACTTGCCCTATGGGAGAGCTGGGTGTGGGACCTGATCGTCCTGTAGGGGGTCTCGAGGCCTGACTCCCTGGGTGCCTGGCTAGATCAGGTGGGCAGATCGTGGACCCGACTTCCAGGGAGTGGGGGCACTGGGCACACCAGCGCCCTTTCCTCCTTGGGTCTGGAGTGGTCAGTGACGATGTCAACTTCCCTCCTCTCGTGTTCCTTTCCTGGGTCCACCAGAGTCCCCGGGGGGAAGGAAGATCTAGAGTGACGCTTTGGGTGAATGCTGGTTCTGGAAAGAAAATCCGTCCCTTCCCAGGTGTGTGTGTTAGACATGGACTGTGTGTGGAGGGACAGGAGATTGTATGAACAGGTGAGAAGTCCCGGTGAGTGGGAGGAGAGTCAGGTTGGCAGCCATGGCTCGTGTCCTCGACAAGCCCATCAGAAGAGTGCTGGTTCTGGTTCTGGTGGAATTAGGAAGGCACCTCGAAGGAGGCTTTCTCAGAGCAAAAGAGGCATTCCCCACTTTTGCAGGGGACAGATAGATTGTATCCGAATCCGGGCTTTAAAATATATGTATATATTTAAATTGATTTCAGAGAGGAAGGAGAGCGGGAGAGAGATAGAAACATCAATGATGAGAGAGAATCATTGATGGGCTGTCTCCTGCATGCCCCACACTGGGGATGGAGCCCGCAACCCGGGAATGTGCCCTGACAGAATCAAACCATGACCTCCTGGCTCATAAGTCGACGCTCAACCACTGAGCCACACTGCCCCGAATCTGCACTTTGCTGCTGTGCGGTCTTGGACAGGTCCCTGCTGGCTTTCTGTAAGATGTAGGTAACAAGTGGTTTATCCATGGGCTCCTGGGTTGGGGTAACTGGGATGATGTCTGACAGCAGGTAGCATGGGTGCCAGCCCATTGGGGTCGCGGGAATGGCCGCTGCTGTTGCTGCTCCCTTATGATGGAAGGGGGTAAAGCATCTGGATTGGATCTTGAAGACATCAGGGCTGAGGGCAAAGGTGAGCCTTGGCTTGGAGTATGAACATGTCCAGACGGGAGCACGGACTAGTGGGGGTTGGGGGTGGGGGCTGGACCACAGGGTGCACATGATGCAGGGCCGCCCTGGTGGGCAGGTGCAGAGGGAGTGACAGCCTGGGCCTCCCAGTCAGGGCAGGGATGTGAGCAAAGTGGGGAGAGAGCTGAAGTGTGGGGTGCTGGTGAGGCATTTGTGGACAGTCATTGAAGGCATGTGAGCTGGTGAGTGAGAAGACATTCTTTTGTTTTAATTAAAAAAATTATTCTCACCTGAGGATATGTGTATTGATTTTTTTTAATAATATCCTTCATTCATTTTGCACTTTTTAAAAAATCCTCAACTGAGGATTTAGAGAGAGAGGAAGTGAAAGGGGGAGAAGAGAGAGAGAGATAGAGAGAGAAACATCAATGTGAGAGAGAAACATTGATCAGTTTCCTCCTGTACACATCCCAACTGGGGATGGAACCTGCCACCTTTTGGTGTACAGAATGATGTTCCAACCAACTGTGCCACACCAGCCAAGGCCTGGAGACAGGTTCTAATGGCCATTACCTGTGTCCTGTTGTGAGGGGGACACTCACCCAGCCAGAGGCCCAGGAAGCCTGGTGACCGGCTCCCAGTGGGGGAATCAGACCCCACTCTGTTAGGTCCAGGAAACCTCAAACCTGGGCGTCCTTAGCTCAGGAGCTGCCTGCTGGGGGCACCCTGCCTCCAGGCCTAGCAAGAACTGGTGGAGGAACCCTAAATACGGCCTTGGTCTGAGGCCAGAAGGAACTGTGTGTGTGGGAGGTGGGGGGTGGGGCGTGACCGCTGCACCCTGCGTTTTCCTTATCGTGCATGCCAAGCCCGGCTGGTATTATTCCAGGAGGGCATCCCTCCTGGAGCTGTTCATGGGGAAGGCTGCTGGCTCCCCCTGCCCCCCAGAGGCAAGCTCCTCAGCAGATGAGAACCTTCTCTGGGAAGCGCACCCTGGCGCTCTTGCTCCTCCCCCCACTGCTGAGATTCCTGGAGGGACACAGCCCTTAGGCCCTTAGGCGGGCTGTAAACAGCTATAATTACCCTTTTAAATCCCTCAGACAGTCCTAGCAACCCCAGCGACACTGCTTTTGTGTTGGGAGCAGGGGCTTCATGGAGACTTCAGCCCCTGGGGAAGCTGCTCTCCTGTCCTCGGGAGCCTGGGCAGCGGCGGCAGAGAAGCCTGGCAGGAGGGAGGCTCTGCAGTGGGGTGGGCGGTGGGCAAAGGGGTCCACGCTCAGCAGCCCGCTCCCTCCGTGCAGAGCATGGGCTGTGGGGCAGGTGAGGCCCGCTGCCAGCTGCCCGGAGCTCCAGCCGCACCTGTCAGGACCTGCACAGCCTCGGGTGGTCGGTGCTGGCTCCTTTTATGTTCCCTGAGCTCTTCTCATTCTGAGTCTGGAGGGGAAGCAGGGTCCTTTTTCTAAGTCAGACCTGACAGTCTCAGACTACCCCCGCCCTCCCCCCTTTGGTCTCATGTACGAGCCCAGAGGAAGGTCGCCCGGTGGTCCTGTGTGGGACAACAGGGACTGAGGCTTCCAGCCATGGCGGTGTGGCCCTCCTGGTCCAAGGTGGTGCCTAAACTCAGCCATCACAGGATTTAGACGTGGGGGTGGAGAGGAGGGGCTAGGAACAGGGAAGCAAAGGGAAGCAGCCCTGGCCACCTTTAGGAAAGGTCTGGAAGTTACGACACCATGCTCGGTTCACACACCGCTGGCCAGAACGCAAGTCACACCCCGAGCTGCTAGACAGTGGGGAAATGTGGTCTTTATTCTGGGCAGCGATGTGCCCAGCTAAAACGCCAACCTTGATTCCTGCCTGGGGTTGAGTGACCTGGAATGACCATTTTCCCTGCTGCTGGCCAGGGGCGTGGCCCCAGCCTGGGACCTCAGCAGTAAGTCCTTCTCCAAAGAGGTCAGTAGGTGCAGAGTGACGCACCCCAGAGCACCTGGGCCATGGGTTTTCCTCGTAGCCCCTGCTTCTGGGTGGGGCTGCACCCACCCCTTAGCCAGAGGCACAGATGGCACTGAACCTGGATCCAATTCAAACCAAGGGCGGGAGCCTCCCAGAAATTAAACTGCCTGGGGCGGGCGTAGAGGAGTTCCTCCCGTGCACACCTTCCCAGGTCTTTTTTCTCAATGACACCCGGTCTGCCTTACAGGCAGACACACGCAGGAGGGAGATGGGCTCTGCCACCCCGTGCCCAGCGATTCTGGGCCAGGCTCTCGCCAGCTCCTGATCCTACTGGTGAGAAAGCGCCTGGGCTGTGATTGGATGATACAAGCTTGTCGCCTTGGTCCTGGGGCAGCCGCTGGGGACCTGCCTCAGACCACAGGGCAAAGGGCTCCAGAGGCCCTTGCAAGCTGATGGCAGCTGCAGGCGAAGGGTCGCTTTCCTGGTCTCCTTTTCCCGAGCCTCCCACACGTGTGCTCTGGGGTGACAGATGGCTGTTGGACGCGGGCCTCTCTGGGGAGGGCTGTGCACACCGCAGCCTGAGCGACGCTGCCTGTGGTTTTATGGGAATTTAATCAGGGTGGGATTAAAATGGAGTGATCCAGACACCAATGAGAGAAAACAACATTCCTCACAGCCCAGGAGAAATAATTCCCACGCAGCATCTGCCACGGGGGTGTGTGGAGTTGAGGCCCTTTCACTCAGAGGTGGGGGCTGGCTGTCCTGCCCACCCGTGGCGACTGCAAGGTGCTCTGGGTGGGGAGGGGGCTTGGAGTCGAGGCCTGAGCGCAGGTGCCCCATGTCCTCTGTGTGTGTGGCCTGTGCAGGTCACCTTTCCTCTGAGCCTGTGTGGTCAGCGCGCAGGCGGGCACAGTGAGAATCACCTTACATGTGTCAGCTAACTTAATTCTCACGATGACCTGTGAGAAAGGCACCTCTGTCACCCCATAGTGGTGAGGATACTGGAGTGCATTGAGCTTATGTTGGTTGAGGCCACAGAGCTACTTGGGGGCAGAGCTGGGATTCGAACCCATACCTCTGGCTGTGCTCTTAGAGTTCCTGAATGGGACTCCCGGTCCTCGTGTGTACTGCTTCCTCCATGAGCCTGGCAGGGGCGAGGAGGGGAGCGACCAAGGCCATGGACATAGTAGATACAGTTGGGGGCTCTTCTGCCTGAGGGCCGGTGGTTCCCCAGAGCCTGGGGGCCTTCCACACTGGCAGCTGGCACGGCTCCCGGGCGCCCTCTGGTGTCCAGGCAATGGCACTGACGAGAGAAGGTCCTTGGTGGCCACCAGCAGCTCTGCCTTGTGTGTTACGGAGGGAACAGAATCCTGCCTGGTTCTTGAGAGCAGCAGCACATATGGAGTGGGAAAGAGCAGGGCTTTGTTGCTTACAGGCCTGGCTCACATCGCAGCCCCCTTGTGTGCTGGGCAGTGGCTGCCGTCTGAGCTGTTTGCTCGTCTGCAAGGATGTTGGCACCACTCTGAGGAAGTGTGTGGAAGGTCTGGTTCCAATCCCTGCAGCAGCGTGGCTCAGAGTTAGATGCTGTCAGCTCCCTCTCCTTGGTCCTTTGGGAGCCTGGTTTGGGTGGGAGATGTGGCAGAAGCTGTGGTGGGTAGTGGGGGGCTGGAGCTGAGGAGGACCAAAAGGAGGGGGGTATGCCCCCATGGACTGCGTTGCTGAGTCAGGGCCGGCTTCTAGCCCTGGTTTTGGGGAGGAGGCTGGAGTTTGGGATCGGGCCACTAGGAAAATTCTTCACACCTCAAGTGAGTTTCTGAGGATTGGCCCCTGTGATGCCTGGCAAAGCTGAGAAGAGGCTGCCCCCCATCAAGGGGTCTGATGTGATGGAGGGCAGGGCACTAGGCCAGGCCAGGCCAAGCTCCTGGAGCAGGCGGTCATGGAAGTGGCATGGGTCCCCTAAGCTGATGGGAGGTGGGGCCTTTGGGTGGGCACTTGGCTCCTGGTTCCTCTCCCAGAGAGAAACTGTGCTCGTCTTCACTCCGGCCGCCACCAGCCACCCAGGCAGAGACCCCCATTCAGGTGAAGGTGGAGGCCTGCAGAGGAGGGTTGTGCTGTGGGCCCCACAGTAAACCGCCCCCACACCAGGGCAGGTTGAGCACCAGCTGTGGGCCCAGCCCAGGGAGGCACCTCCTCCACATCAGGAGGCTTATGGGTCTGAATCCAACCCTGCCCTGGGAAAAACTGCTGACTACATTGTGACACGCCATCGACAATGAAACATTTCAACCTCAGTGATGGGCAGTGAAAAAAAATGTGTCTCAGAATCAGTGGAACAGAGGCCAGCCCACCCAGCGCACACGGGAGTGCCCACCGCAGGCCCCCGAGGGCGCTCACCTCCAGCGCGCACAGGCACAGACCCGCCCTGGAGTCCGTCAGCGGGCTGGGCCCTGTTCCAACCTCTTCAACCTCAGCTCCGCTTCCCAGATACATTCTAACGGTGTGGAATCCAGCTTTCTAGACCCTTCTCCTGCACAATAAATACATTTGTGCTTTTAAAAAAATAGGGACAGTGTCATGTTACATATGTTCTCATAAAACTTGTTTTCTTCTCGCTTAATAGATATCTTGGCTTCTTCCCACGTCAGCCTGTAAAGATGATGGAGGTCAGGTCTGCCCCGTCGTCCTTGCCGGCAGCATAGTTCAGCACGTGGGTGAACGCGTCGTAACTCACTCGGCTATATCGGGCTTGTTGGGTCATTCCAGCTTGATTTGGGTTTTTAAGAAAATAAACTGCAGTAAACACAGATCTTTGCCTACTTCTAGAATTAATCCCTAGAAGTGGAATTTTTCCATCAAAGATGACCATAAACATTTCCCAGGTTGGCACATCTTGGCTGATGGCTCTTCAGAAAGTTTAAACAGACTTTACTCCTAATTGCGCCTGCCTGCCAGCCGGCGATGCCCATCTCACCTCGCATTGCTTTTTCTGTTGGCAACATTGAGCATCTCCTCCCGCTTGTTATTAGCCATTTGCATTTCTCTGCGGGAGTCTTTTCATCTCCTTTGCCCATTTTCCTATTGGGTTTGTGGTGTTTTTCTTACTGATTGGTTAGAGCCCCTTTTGGATTAAAGAAATTGTCTCATGGTTTCAGAATATGGACCGTTGCGTTGATGGACGCTTCCTCTTTGCGCTGCGGCCAGGTTCACGTTTTCTGCTCTACTTTTAAAATATGTGCTGCCAGAGGGAGCACTTCAAATACTATTTTAAAAATGCCTTGAAAAAAAAGGCTGCTGCGTGTGGGAGCCGGAGCTGAGTGGGGCCAGCCGGTGACTGCCTGGGCCCGGAAGGGGCCGTAAATCCCTGGGAGCAGCTGCCACGGAGCTAATCCGCGTTTCCAGCAGCCATTCCCCAGGCTGGAGCGGGCTCAGGAGCCTCTGCCTCCACCTGGGCCGTGTCTGGCCTCTGCTGCAGCGCTCTGTCCCCTCGAGATGAAATCGGTCACTGGCCTGTCAGGCGGGAGGAAAACGGCTCAGCCCCTGACCAGGGCGATGTCTGACCGGGAAATGTCAGGCGGGTGATGACGGGGCGCGCACAGCAGGGGACAGAGTCTGGGGGCTGTTTTAGGGTTCTGCCCGTCACCTGAGCACACAGAAGAGTTTTTCCTCGCACACTTCTAAGTTAAGTTGAATTTAGTGGACATGAAGTCTCTCTATCTCTGTGGCCAGTGCCTGTGGCCCCTGCCCACCCCCTCCCCGGGTGACATCGCTTGCCACATCGGCCCTCACTCCCCTCACTGCACCAGGCTAGACTTCTCAGCAGCCCCCTCTTGGCCCTTGATCTTTGTCCTTGGTTTCCTCTTCTGGCTCAGGTGACCTCCTCCAGGTCGCCCTCCTTGCTTCCTTCCCTGTGTGGGCCTCAGTGCCCCCCCCACCCCTGTTCCCATAGACCCCTGCTGCCCTGGGTCACAGCAGCAATCCCACTGTGTTTTATGTTCTCACTTCTCTCTTCCTACCCAACCGAAGGCCTTAAGGACAGTGTGTCTTTGGGAACCTTGAATCCCCAGAGCAGGGCCTGGAACATACTAGGTGTTCAATCAGTGTGCAAACAGAGGACGGGTGTTTTCAAGAATCAGATACAGAAGAAGCAGACGCACGAGGGGCTGACCTGCGGCAGATGGGGTCCCTGGCCATCTGTGGCAACAAGCTGCTGAGGAGTGATGTTTGAAGTGGGTCTGAAACTGGGGCTGGCAGGAGAAAGGGGGGCTGCCATTCCAGAGAGCGAGCAGGGTGGTTGGGAGAAACGGGCTGTCTGTGCCGCTAGAGGAGTCACCCGCCGAGTCCCAGCGGCCCTCCGATGCAGTTTGGACGTAGCCTGTGGTTGGAGGCAGGAGGCTGCTGCAGAGCTGGGGGAGAGATGCTAAGGGCCTGGTGGGGGTGAGTGGGTGGCAGTGGGCAGGAGTAGAGGGGACAGCCCGGAGATACTGGAGGGGTGGCATTGTCAGGCATTGGTGACAGGCATTGTGTTTAGGGTGGGCAAAGGGTGAGGAGAGGAGAAGGAAACACAGTACAAGCCACAGCCGTGGTGCGCATAACCCAGATGGCAGAGCCGGGCAGTGCTGTGGGCTCGGGTGAGTGGATGCCTCCATGGGTACCGAGAGAGGCCAGGGCGGGGCTTGGGGTCTACCGGCGTTAATAAGCCTCCAGCCCGGGCCAGACTCCCGGCTTCAGCAGCAAGGATTCCGTTTCAGCAGTGGAGGTGTGAAGGGAGGAAGTTCCTGGGGCAGGTTCAAGAGGCCCAGGCCACGCAGGTAAGAGAGCAGGTTACCAGCAGAAACGGAACGGTTCCCTCTGGGAGAGCCTGCTGGAGCTGGGCGCAGGGCTGGGGCCAGGCCCTCTCACCATCCCGCTGCCACATTGGGCGTCTAGAGCCCCTACCTGCCCCCGCCGGCCCCTCCTCTTCCCCTATTCCTCCTCTTGAGCTTTTGGAGGAGACTGCTGTGGAGTTCTCACCCTGCGCCTCAGAGCTCAGACCTGGGCCACTCACACTGTCAGGCCGGCTTGTCCCTATCGTTTTTGCTCACTCCTCACTGCCAGCTCTGGTTCTTTGGCCCTGCTGGCGACCAGCAGCCCAGATCCAACTTCGTATTCTAAGCACAGGGTGCTCCTCGAAGTCATGCCCTCTGCCGGTCAGTAAGGGAGGCCCCGGCGCCTGCATGGTTGCTGCTGGTCTGCTTTGAGTCTCGGTTCTGCCCCGGCAGATGGATGGACGAGCAGCTCGCTCTCCCTCCAAAGCCTGATGTGAAGAGTGTTGTCTCTGGGCAAGAAAAAGCACTCTGCTCCTGTCTCCATGCAGAGCAGCTAGGCTCTCTACGGGATCCTGGACTTTTAAAAATAGCGGACCCTCAAGTAATGACACCAGTGACGATGGTGATGGAGGGTACCTGCTCCGTGCCGGTTCCTGTTGTGTTTTGTGTATTAACTCATTGGATCCTTACTGGCAGGACTGCACTTCTCCCCAGTTTACAGACCAGGAAACTAAGGCACTGAGAGGTGAAGGCACTTTCTCAAGGTCACACAGACCCCGGCAGCCCAAAGGGTCTGGGCACCAGTGCCAGGGACACAGCCAGCTCGATGGCCTTGTGTCCTGGGCCCTGAGTCAGGAACGGAGCCTTCCCTAACCCCTTCCAGGCCCAGAGTCTCCAGGGGACTAGGAGGGCATGGGGAAGGGCATGGCTGTGGCGCAGGCTGCCTGCCTGGCACGCCGGCTCTGCCACATACTGCTTTTGACCTTGAAGAAGAACTTAACTTCCTAGGCCTCAGATTCCTGCATGGATGAGCAGCCCCAGCCCCACCTGTAAATCCAGCTTACCCCAGCTGCCTGTCAGGGCCCAGTTCCCCGTGGACCACTTTGCTGGTGTCGGTCTGAGCGCCTCAGTGCTGAGATGCCAGGTAGGACCTTCTCTCCGTACCCCACAGGGGGCACCTGACATGAGACAATCCCAGCTCCTGAGAGCGCCGGCCCCATTGTAGGTTCCACATCCTGGATGTTGACTGGACCTCAGTGAATAGGGGAGCAGACCCAGCTCTGATAGCACAGCCTTGCTTAGTGCTCATCAGTGAACCGCACACACCGCCAGCGTGCAGGGGCGCACCACAACCCGAGGGGGTGGATGGGCCTGTTGTCCCCATATTAGAGAGATGGGCCTTGGGGCACAGAGAGGCAGGCAGGCCAGGGTGAGGCAGTGACGTGGGCTCAGAATCCAGGCACTTAGTCCACAGCGGCGCATGCCCATAGCTGCGAAGGGCGAGGAGGGGGGAGAAAGAGGAGGTGGGCAGGGGGGATCTGTTTCTCCTGGGCCTGACCCAAAGGCCTGGCCAATTTCCAAGTGGTTTGTATGAGTCAGGCTCCCCAGGCCGTGCTGGCTGCAAGGGCTGGAACTTTTCATGTGTTTCTCATCTGGGGCTTTGAATGGGCATGAAGATACAGATGACCTGTCATTCAATTGTTTTCACCCTTTTAAAGCCCGGAGCTTCCCCTTCCCCCCAATTCAGCACCTGGCCTGCAGGGCCCTTGTGCTACGGGGAAACGAGTCACCTACAGTAAAGGGAACGCAGAATGTGGAAGTGGGTACTTGGGGACATGTGGGGGCGGAGCAAGGAACCATATCTATGTGTAACTGGGGGATTCAGTACTAAGAGCAGATATTCTGACGTATCTGGAGGAAGTGGGTGGGGGGGGTGGAGTCCTGGGCAGTGAGGGTGTCCCAGGAGAGGCCACCCCCCAGGGGAGCGACCAGATGAGGGTGGGGTATGACTTGGGGCCTCGCGTGTGGTTGCTGTGATGGGGTGATGGGGTGATGGGATGCTGGGGCTCTTCCTGGCCAGGCCCGTGGGTGGGACATGATACTGGACAGTGGGAGCAGGTCATTGTGGTGAGGACGGGGGATGCCCTCCGTGGTCGCAGGCCCAACTGCATTTCCTTTCCTCCATGGGCCTGTCATCCAGGTCCTTCCTGGCTGCCTCTCCTGGCCCCGGCCTGTGGCTGCTCTCCCAGCTGTACTTGATTATTCTGAATTACTGGGTGGCTGCCATCATTGTGAGCCAAAAAGCCATTGGGGTTGTTTTCAAAGCTTCTGTCAGGCTGGAACTTGGTCACCCGGAATACACGGGATGTCTTTTCCTGTTTAGAATTCAAGAGCATGTGGCTCGTGCCCCTAACAGTGTAACAGCAGCGGGAAGGTGACTTTGAACAATCGGGCACTGAGTCATGAACGCTGGAGCCTGCAGGTTGATGGGCCAGGCTCTCCCACTTTGTCCATTCAAGTCTGTGGCCACAGTTATCAGGGCTGTGCCAGGCCAACAGCACCACACAGTGGCAGGTTGGGGAACTGCAGGCCCCCTTTCTTTCCCTTGCTGGTTAGCCCTGCCCACTCCATGCTTCCCCGCTCCTTCTGTTGCCAGGGCTTACAGCTCACTTTTATTTCTCTCTCATTTCACCCAACACATGCATGCTTGTCCGAGAGATGGTCCTTGCTGACTCCTGCCTCCTCTGAGCAGTGCTGGGCCAGGGCTAGGACCCAGTCCCGACCCCAAGGAAGGTACTGTCTGGTTGCTAACTCAGAACCTAGATGTGGGAATTTAATAGGATACACGAGCTGAGCCACCCAACAAGGCAGTGTGTGGCGTGCGAGAAAGACGGTGCTAGGACAAATGAGACTGCTGGTAGGAGAGGCCTGGTCAGGGGCCATGGTAGGAGCGGGTGTTATTATAAGACAGGTGTTGTCAGGAGCTTCCGGGAGCTTTAGG